CGGAGCCTCCACCTGAAAAATCGGATCCACAAAGCAGTGGAACAACATCAGGCGGTGGTAGCCAGTAACCAATAATTGGATCATACACCATTTGTTCCCTTAATATCATGGAGTCTATGTGCACCATTGGTTTGGAATCAGGGTTTTTCAACTCCCTTAGGTGTATACTCCATGTCCACTGACGTGGCTAAAGCACCGGACATTCGCTTTTCGTCTTCTCAATTTTGTAAACAACAGTAATGTCGCAAGAAGGCGGTGAGTAGGACTTCCCTGATAGTGGCTGTATACGCGTGGTCATGTGAGAGCGTTTCGACAGGAAGAGTTGACTCTCCCCACCCTCGGCCATACGAGGGCATTTGAGGGCTCTGTGGGAGAAGATGGATTTTATTTCTTAACTAAATAAACGGATGTTCAACAAGAAAATAATGACTTTGTAAAAAAATCAGCTTGATTTGTACTAAAATTGCAAGCACATTACGAACAGATCTAGAAATCAATTTGGTTATCCACAATGTTTATTATATTCACCAATTGTATCATAACTAACGCTTCCAGTCATTTTCCGTGCGTTTAATAGATACGTTCAGTATATTAGGGTGTAATTTTGTATAAAACATTTCATGTACTAACCCATGTTGCATATGTGTTTTACACAACACATATCAGGTGCGCTACACTGAACATGTTTATAACAGATAGATGGAGATTATTTCAACAGCGTGAAATGTAATTTTTAATAAAAATCATAATCTAGTGTGCAATACTCAATTAGTGAACAGAAAAGTGACCTAAAGTTATGGATACGATTCACCAATCGAAGAATGTGAACATTTCGGTTTTCTTATTTGTTTTCTTAACATGTTAACTTTTAGTGTATTTATAATTTGTGACTAAGGGAGTATAACTATTCTAGAAATGAGCAAGTTACCTACCAATAAAAATGGTTGATTGTTCGGACTGTATCCTGATCTTTTAATACTGAATGTGATTTCCTTATGTCCTGAATATTGTGAATTCGACTCTTAATAGGTTTATTTATATGTTCTACAGAGTATTCCAGAACTGGGACGAAATAATTGTCCAATATTTCGTACTTTTCTAAACTTACTTACTTACGCCTGTTACTCCTCGTGAAGGAGCATAGGCCGCTCACCAGCATTCTCCATCCAACCCTGTCCAAAGCAATCCTTTCTAGTTCCGTCCAGTTGTAATTCATCGTTTTCATATCGACGCAATGTGTTCTTTGGCCTTCCTCTATTTCGCTTCCCTTCAGGATTCCAAGTTAGGGCTTGCCTCGTGATGCAGTTTGACGTTTTGCGTAATGTATCTCCTATCCATTTCCATCGTCTTTTCCTAATTTCTTCTTCAGCTGGAGAAATATTGGACAATTATTTCGTCCCAGTTCTGGAATACTTTTCTAAAGCCCCACGTAACTCCTCAGTTGAGACGGAATTTGATGGCGCATATAAAATATTCAGTGATATAAGGTGCTTAGAAATATACAATATAAATTAATATCTTATGAATAACAGTTGATGACTTAAAAAGCAACTAACAGTTGTCTGACCCTGCTATAAAATTCTTCAGTAGAGCATACTTACGATGCCTTAGAGAACTGAAATTAAGTATTTTAAATCTCATTATGGTTTACAATACTTTTCGGTTATTAAAATGGTAAATAATAGTCTATAGTTCTAATGGATTCCTAGCTAAAGTTACTGATGATGTTAATAATTATCAGTACAGACGGTCAATTCATTTAGATTGTAAGTTACTCATTCAATATGTCTGTTGAACTTAAAGTCGTTGTTCTGTTTGAACAAACGATAAAATTTGACATTTTTATTGGACTAACACAGGGATATGTAAAACGTTTACTAAAATAAATAAGAGTAGCAGTAAAATACTTGATGGACAGGAGTATAATAATAATAAGGATATATCTTAGCCCTGTTGGTAATTTGTCTCAAACTGAATAATTCAATGATAGTGTGTCTAATAGAGGTGTAGTGGCTGGTCCTATGTCGAACCCATATAGCTTAATATAGCTTTGGGACAAACTAATTTATCCATTCTTCCTGAGTCACATTTTGACCTTCTTATGATTATTCAATTATCAACCTTAATTGTTTTTATATGAGCGTATATGTGTGTACACTTCTTATTCTATTCATCACGTCTGGCTATAAATATTGATTAACGCTTGATTAAATGGAGTTGGCTCATATACCTTCTCTGCTGCATGTCATTTCGCTTCACTCTCTTCCCTTCGCTTCTTTCGATTAATCCCTCTGATTGCCTGTACGGATCAGTGACTATACGAAATATTTGTATTCAAAAACCCATACTCGTATTTGGCTTAATTAATTCCCTTATTCCCTAATATGTATTAAGTCGAGAATTATATATTAGGATTAACGGTATATATATCTCAATAAGAATGAGGAACAATCAAACTGGAGTCAGATCCCAGGCCACTAAAAGATGCTAAACAATATAGAGATTGAAATATTATGAGAATAGGGATATTTTTTGAGCAATTAGAAATTCACTTGGTATAATTTCATTGGAATCTTCCCATTGATGTTAAGGACTGAAATTGATCAGTCTGTTATTGTCATATGTGCATCCTGTTCGGATTGCTTCGATATTACGTTAATTTACAAGCATTTTTAGCAAAGATGAATAGTGGTTAGCAGTGGAATCCACGACACGCGTTTCGTCCTCCTTTTGGGACCCGTCAACTGGATGTACCTGCATCTCAGAATTGATGTCCATTCTGGGACTCGAACCCAGTACTCTTTTGCTTGAAACGCTATCGCGTTATCTACTTATCTACTGAGTTCTGAAAGCCAGCTACAGATTATACTTTTGTTAATGTCCATTTATTTGATCTATATGATTTAATTATTGTGCTGAATAGAATCATTAACAGTTACATAAAGTAGGCATTACATAGTCTTATTTCAAACAATCAGGAAAGTTACAGTCTACTGATGTCACATGAATAAGTTCAAATTATTGTTTACGATCGATTTACAGAATAAAAAGATCGACTTGAATTTTCTTGTAATATCAAGTAACTTGACTTGGAATCTAACTAGACAATCTTCATTTGCATGACATAATCATCATTGTTTATTAGCAAATATGAAATTATAAGTCACTGTTTAACATCAATGGTGACTATATTTAGTACACCTTATATACACAACTTAATACATATGTTTTCCGTATGTATTTCATGTTATTAGCCAGTGTAATGAAAATTAATAATATAAAAAAGATGATTAGAAGGCATCTAATAACACCAAGTAATGAAATCATGAATAACCATCTAGTATGATCTAGCGATTTTGGATCAGTACTATACCTAATGACTCCGCCTGGAGTCCCTCCGATGGCTACTGCCGGTCCCAAGCCCAGATAAAAGAGGAGGGTTGGGCATGGGGTTAACGACCTCATCCCGTAGAAAACGAACTCGCTAAAAATTACTAACCAGAATAACGCTAACTGCACCTAATCTTCTGTTTTCATTTTCTTTGGGCTAGAACCGAACATTATTCATGATTATTTTTGAAAGTCTTGTTAAATACGCAACAAGAGGATTTAGTAGGTGATAGAATGAACAATTTAAAAAACAGATATATTGGCTCAAAATCTCCTTGATAAATCGTCTTACCTAACTTCTATGATGTCAACCATAGATAGGTCTCTTTCTTTCGCAGATTAAGGAATATGAATTCTTCGGTCCACCGAACATATTCAGTGAAGGATCTTTTAAGTATTTTAATTCCTATCATTGCGCACTAATGTAGGAATATGAAGGCAAACGTAAAATATATCTTGACTAACTTAGGTAGTGAAGATTCATTACCTGAACAACCAATTTATCATCTGTACTTATAAGCCTGAATGATTTTGTATCGACAAAGGTTTTTACCAAGGTTCCTCTCTATAGAACAGGGTTGTTAGACCTATGTCTGAATCTCCTCCGTTATCCGAACTTGAGACTATCAGTAACTCTAGAAGCGCTCCAGGTAGAGGCAAATGTCAAAAGAATGAGTAGCACTTGAGAACAGCTGAACAGGAGAGCACAGAACAGAGTTGACTACAAATTCCTGGTCGGTGTTCTATAATCCAAGAAGGGGAATAGGCATAAGTAAGTAACTGATTAGCTTAACCCTTACTTTGATCTGAATCACTTCATGTATTCATTATATGCAAAAAAATACTTTGAAGATATCACATATTGGCTGATTTCAACCTATGGGTGTCTTTGACCTTAACAGTTCAAGTTTTCCATACATAAACTAGTGAACTAATATACACTATCTATAACTTAACACGTCTATAATAATCACCTTAGAAATCTCAACATCACCTTAACCTACATATAAATTTAAGTTCAATATAACAAAATAATTCACTAAAATAGCGTTGAAGGGGGCAAAAACAAGTGATAGTGAGATGATGGAGTCAAATTCGTTGCTCAGGGGGATGATTTTGATGGAGTTTTGTCCTCTAAGCTGGATGATGTCCTATAGGACAGGTTGTGAACCACATGTGGATAAATTTGAACACTTCACTTCTATCTGAAGTTTGTGCTGATGATGTCATTCAGAAGAACGTTGAAAGCTCCATAACCAAACCATTCAGCTCAAAGAACAAAACTCCATCAAAAACAACTGATCGTTCTAAATTTTCCTTTATAAGAAGAATTTATAACTGAAATAGATTAGGATATCAATAGGTCCAGGACAGAGTGGGTTGGAGAATGCTGGTCAGCGGCCTATGCTCCATTGGGAGTAACAGGCGTAAGTAAAAAAAAAGTAAGGATATCAATAGTGACTACCTGATTGATAAGTAGAAAACTATTGCAAAAGACCATATATATATATATATAACAATACTGGTGGGCGACATAGGCTCCTCCACGAGGGTTAACCGACATACATAAATGAATTAATTATCATATGTATATGTCAATATCTACTTACATTTATCTTCACACTATCATGATTATTATATATACTTTCACAATGAATAGTATTAATCCTACTGAATGTATCCCTTCTATTATTTCCATCTACTGATAATTGATAATAGGTGTATTGTTCATTTAAATCAACAGTATTATTATTATGATTGTTATTGTATAAATGTTTTCTTATTTTTATTGATTGAATTGTTTGTTTATTGTTTATTTGAATCAGTGATCTCTTTGATATATTATTGAATAAATCTAATTTATACTTGGATCGAATAGATTGTTGCTGGGTAGTTATAAGTGAAGAATTAAAGTATTGATTATGTGGTTTTTTATTGAAATCGTATGTTTGATAATAATGATAGTTATTATTATTATGATTATGATTAAGTGTTGCTAAGGAACTTCGCTGTGGTTTACTAATATCTGGAAACCATAGATTAGACTGTGATATCAATGGTATAACATGCTTATGTGTATATTCCTGTCGGTAATTCATATTCATGCAATAATGTTGAATTCAAAAAAAAAAAAAGAGAAACGTAGAATTACACTTGCTTTACTCTTTTATGTGTTCATTTGTTTGTTTTCTTTTTCCTTTTCTTTTTTTTTAAAAATTTTGTATTGTTTTTATTCACTTTGAAATTACCATCATTATTATAATTAAATATAAACTACCAATGACCTACGATTATAATTAGTCGTTGACTTAGCAACCAATAAATTTATCTAAAGAATTAAGTTGAAATCAGTTAGTGAAAGAAACAGGTATGTTTTTTTTTTGATGTTAGTTTGTTTGTGTACTCTGTGCTATTGTTTATGATGTTACGTTTATACTATCTAGAACATTCTAGTTAAGGTAGAGGATTCGGGGAATATTAAGAGATAGTAATCCTATTCAAATGAATGACTATCGTTTGGAAAGTGTTCAATAGTCAATACTAATTAATTGACTTGTTGAATAGACTGGGTTTTATAATATTCAAATATCATTCATTTCAAATGTATTGAGTGGGACTTGTTTTAGTCTATGATGTAGTTAGTCATGGAACTAGAGGGTTATAAATGTATACTATTTTCATAGTTTAAATCATGAACTAATTTTAGTTAAACTAACTGAAATATTTGAAGTTAGACAACTACACCAGTGGATAAAATCATGATGGTCTATAGGTTGGGTGTTCTTGTTCAAGATCTAAACCCCTAGGCTTGATTTCCGGATGAAGGTTTGTGGGTGCATACTACAGTAATGTCTGTTACTAGGATGAAGGAGAAGTTCAATGGTTCCTTATTTTCAATGGTTGTGTAGCTAAGATCAGTTCACAAATCGCCTATATTATTACTATAAATAAACGTTTGAAGAGATATATGCACTTTTTATATCAGATAAAGTGATTTCATTAGGAAATATTACTTTAATTTTCAATAAAAAGATCACTATCAAGCATGTATGAGTAAACGAGCTTTAACTATTATAACTAGTCGATCAATAGTAAATGCACTTGCTCCGTTATTGTATTTGTTAAACTAGTAAGAAGATGTATAAATCCTTACATCTCCAATTCACTATATGAACTATCAAATGAATTTAATAATTAAGACTCATAACTCATGTGATTGCATAGACAAAATAGAAAACCGTAATGTGCCAGAAATATTAAATCTAAATAGATATATGTTGAAGATATTTTAATAAAGGACTTAGTAACAAGTATGTAGTTTATTGATTATAAACTATATCAATCAAATGAACCAATAGTATCTAATATGTTATGAAGTCAATGAAATGCAATTAGAATTCACTTGAACTAGGAAGTGTACCCTCTTTTTCACTCTAACATCTTATTTAAGTTGAATAGCTTGACAACCTTTGGTTTAACCTAACAATTAGGATTGTATAAAAGAGACTATATATATATATAACTTGGAAAATAAAATTGCACAAGCGAGTGACTATCAGGACTCAGTAGATACGTAGTTAACGCGATGGTGTTTGTAGCGAATGGTAGTGGGTTCGAGTCCCGGAGTGAATTTCAATTCGGAGATGCAGGTACATCCAGATGACGAGTGCTAAATTAGACGAAACGAGCGTCAAACTGGATTCCACTGCTAACCACTATCCATCTTTGCTTGAAAAGCTTATGATTTAAGGCAATATCGAGGCAATCCGAACAGGATGCACATATGCTAATAAGAGACTGATCGAATGCAGTCCTAAATAACAATGGGAAGATACAAGTAAAACAACACCAAATGAATTTAAACGTAAGGTAGTTCACTAAAAAGTGCATTATTGTTAGAATCAACAAAAAGATGTTAAGTTACGCTAGACCAGATAAACACAATGAGATAAAATCCTAGAAATAATATTCACTAAATAAGTTGAAATAATACTGATATCGATTATAGTCATAAAAAATGATTGATTATGAAGAGAAATCAAAGGAGGGAAACTTATCTTTTTGACAAATTCATTTACTTAAGCTGTATATTCGTATTTATAACTATTTGAGAAATATATGATTTTATCACTACTACTGCAGCCGTTCTGAGGCTGCTGCCGGTCCCACGCATGGGCTCGGATAAAAGAGTAGTGTTGGGCATGGGGTTAGCAACCCCATCCCGTAGAATATTAACTCTCTAAAAATACTCTAACAAGAAAAATATTTAACTATAATGTGAGTATAAAATAAGCTGCGATTGGAAGTTATTGCTTTAATTATTCGAATCATCAGTTGGATTAACTCTTATCATTGTAATTTGCAGATTAATAATAATAATAATGACAATAATAATAACTTACATAATGATAATGAGAAATGAAGTAATTAATGATTGTTACAATTGATCACATCATAATGGAATCCGTGATTTTAAATATCTAGAAAATGCTGCGTAATAATTTCTCGTTGCTGAATACTCTTAATTTCTATTCGATAATACAATAGGTTCTACAGGAGCTCAGTTGCGGCCCTGATAGCTCAGTGGTAACATCTTTGACTGTGAAGTTGGATGACACGAGATTGGATCTGTCAGGAAGCATCAATTCCCTCAAGATTACAGGTACACCTTGCCGAGGAGTACCAGGTAACACGAAACCTAGGTTCAGGGTTTCCTGTTGACTACTTACAACCAACATCTTATCTCAACATAGTGCATGCAGTGTCGAGTCACTTAGACTAGAGGCCACAGAAGCAAAAACGCTAACTAGAATAAACAAATTTAACCATCTTATACAATATACAATAGTTTATTTCGATCGCCGACAGAATAATTCCATGCTAATCATTAATAACAAAACAGTGATATATTTATATTATTTGAATGAGTAAAAATTACTTTTATTATTAACATCTATCCAATACACAATTTATTTAAAATTATTAAGTTAAACGTCACTAATGTTACATTAATAACCAGACTACTGAGGAAAGTTTATCAACCATTAATTTAAGCATTTTCCTAACCACTGATTGATATTTTCCCCACCGTTACCAATCACTAACCCTGTAGCCATTCTAGGAATAAGACATCTGGTGGAAACATTGATTAGATCAACGGAAGAACGCTGGAATTTCGACGGAGGACCATCATGGTTGTTTCCTATGTTGTCCCGTTTCATAGCAGCTAAGGCGAATGGCTACCGGGTGAGACTTATATTTATTGGCAAAGGGATATCATTAATCCATATATCAGTATACATTACATATAATAGGATTTTGATCTAAAACGTTTTTAAAGATCCGTTTGATCGGTAATTGGTACAGTGAACACATATAAAGTCTCAAAAGATAGAGCTTAAAATCTTCAAGTTTCGAAGCTAGCGCATGATCATGAGACTATTGAATTAGTCTCTTACTGTTTTAATCAATTCCAAAGAATGCTTAACTATTACTCAACGTCATGTATAACATTTGTTTGACATCCAATATGCATAAATTCAATCAGTCATATATTCTCATTAGAACTTCAAGAACCTATCTGAAAGTAAGTTACTTGTAAGAACACAATGTCAGTTATGATTACACAGTTTAATTGAGATTCTCTTTGATCTTGTAGTTGGTATTCATAATTAGTCAATACTAATGGGAATATCATTAAAAATCAGGGAATTTTGGAAAAGTGTTTCATTCGAAGTTAGTCAGTATAGAATACTATCTACAAATTAAACGAATCTACACAAAACTTCATTAGGATGATCCAATTAATACTGACCTATGCTGAATACCAAAAAAAAAATTATGTAGTTTAATTGTTGTTTGGTTCATGTTTATTTACAATAATCCATTCGAACTGTAAAATGTGCACACACACACACATTCAGGTGCAAATCCATACGTATGAACTACTTATCAATCTAACATGGAGAGCATGTGACTGATATTACGTTGACTTGGAGTATATATATATATATATTCGGTGCAGTTTGTACTGTAAGGATTATGACAAGCTATAAGACAATATATATACACAGACAAATTTTCTTACACACATTTGAAGGATGCAGTACCTTTACAAGTAATTAGCTTTTAAATGTTTGTTTATTAAAATATTTAATAATAATAATAATAATAGTAACCATTATTATTATTATTACTATTGAATATAAATTTGAGTCAATAAATGTAGGCAAATGATGGTGACTTATCTAAAAAAAAAATGAATCTGTCAATGATGTAGTCAATTAATCATAATATAATTGGTTAGACAGTAACAATACATAATTCCCATGATGCAGTTATTAATAACAGTGATGGCAATAATAATAATAAGAAGAAGAATACAATGACAGGTAGTATAGTTTTGTATTAGTTATATTAAATAAACGAATAATCTAATAATATAAACAAATCTCCTTATTGTGAACATAGTTAGCTTTATGAAAATAAGTATTATGTAGACAGTGTAGAATGATGTGAATTCATGTTGTCTGGCCTGTCCTCGCATCCTCTTCCTTCCCCCTCTCTTTGTATATATATATGATGGAAATTATAATATTTCCATAGACTGTGTATTAAAGAACTGATGTTAGTTCAACAAATATTAAATACCTGAAAGTAATGGACCCTCATTTTGTACTAGTATAGAATTCTTTAATCCACAAGCCTGGGAATCCAAACCAGAAAATTCAGTCGCTATCCCGGACACTTATCTATGAGTGTTGATATTTAAAATTAATCTACTCACTATATCGTTTATTGTCAGAGGGTGGATAATTGTTTTACAGTTGATATGGTCAAAATCCCCTAGTCACTGCTTCTCTCTATAACTCCTGAAATTATATTTACAAGCTTATAGCGACTCACGTGCAAATGGGTTTATTCTCATTTAACTCAGTTAAGCCCTTTTGCTAACTTATTTAGCGGACAAAGCCATCCGCACTATAACAATTTATTGTACCCTTATTATTATTTTGTGCTTGTATGAAATACGCATGCTTGAATATTGCTTACGGCCTACGCATTTATGTCACTCTGCTAGTCT